GTGCCCGTGTGAAACTCGGGGAGAGAGAGAGAGAGAGAGAGAGAGAGAGAGAGAGAGAGAGAGAGAGAGAGAGGATGGGTGGGTGGGGAATGTGGAAGACGCACTATTTATTTTTCTCACGTGCAGTTTTGTTGGTTTTGGGATGGTGTAGTTGGAGCTTGGTGAACAGGCAGCGATGATAGCAGATCTGCGCTTACGGGCAGAGGAGGTTCCTCGACTGAAGTGTGAAATCCGCAATCTGAAAGATCAACTGGATGTGCAAGCAGCGAGAGCATCGACGGCAGAGGCGAGTGAGAGGCTGGTCGATCAGTACAAGAAGAAGCTGGAGAAGGTAAAGTGTTTTAGAACCTTTGAATTAAATGTTTAATGCTTAACAAAGGCCTATGTCTGAATGGCACACACTTGTGACTTCTGAGTAACGGATCACGGGTTCTAATCCTGTTGGATATAGCTCTAGACTGAAAATTGCCCCGAGTACAGCATGGTTGATTATGACGAGGTAATTATAAGCAACCTCTTAATTAGCATATCACAATGCGAATTGTAACATGTTCTAACATAGGAGCTGCCATCCTGATTAAAACTCGTCTTGGTCAGCTAGATTAGTACGGGATGTTCATTATAGCTCTGTATCTAGACTGATAGTTGATACAAATGCAGTGATAATGACTGTGCCTTGTATTTGGGTGAGGATGATAATGAGAACTGAAAAGGATGCGATTTTTGCCGTCCAGAATATGTCGTGATTGAGAGTATAATTGGATTTTTTTTTATTTTGAAAAGATCTAACGGTTAATCCAATTTAAATTTATTGAAAAGGAAGAGATGTCGTATGCTAGAACAACAATCTTGTTGTATGCTAGAAAAATACGAACTTGGATGCTGTTCTTTTTGTATGAAGCCTAATTGGGAAACAGCAATCTTCAATACTCTGAGTCTTATTGAACCGTAAATCCTAAACCCTAAGCCCTACGAACCGTGAATATTAAACATTAGCTCCCCTAAACACTATGAAACCCTAACCCTATCCCTATGAGACCTTAACGCTATGAAACCCTAACCCTAACCCTATTAAACCATAACCATATTAAACCATAACCATATTAAACCATAAGTTCCATAACCATATTAAACCTTAACTCAATGTGTTAATCCTTAACCTCCTGAAGGCTGAAGCCTATTAAACTCACCCTAAACCCGAACTTTAATATGTCCCCCCTATTAAACACGAACACAATCTTTGAATTTATTTTTGCCCAGGAGGAGGAGAACTGTGCGCCAAGCGTGATTGTGGCATTTTTTGTTTTGTGTTGGCTGGCACTGCCAGCCTTTTTGGTCTGGTAGTGCCTGGCCTCCTAACCATATTAAACCATAACCATGTTAAGCTGAGACCTCCTGAAGCCTCCTGAAGCCTATTATACCCACCCTAAACCTGAAACCTTATTAAAGCCTCCCTATTAAACACAAACTCTATTAAAGTTTAAACCCTGTTAAGCCCTAACCCCTAAACCCTAAAGCCTGTGGAATCTAATCGTAGCCCCTATTGTACACAATCCATTAAACCGCCAGTACGACCCCCTAGCCTTGCAAGATTTCTTCATACTTATAAAATTTTGGAGGTTTGGGACTAGCGGACCACAATGGCTGGCGGAGCTAACCAAGAAAGAAATGAAGTGCGCCACTGGCCATTCGGCAAAACTTGGCGTGGAGTGTGGTGACGCCAGATTTGGGTGCACTTGTGGTTTAAGCCCTATTAAACCCTGAACCTTCTTTCACCCCAATCCCTGTTATACCCTATCAAACCCTACTAAAACATACGTAACCCTCTTAAACTCTCTAGCTGCGTGGCGTGGAGTGTGGTGATGTGAGATCTGGGTGCACTTGTGGTTTAAACCCTATTAAACGCTGGGCCTTCTTTCAACCCAATCCCTGTTATACCCTATCAAACCCTACTAAAACATACGTAACCCTCTTAAACTCTGTAGCTGCGTGGCATGGTGAACATGTCCGCGCCACTCCGTGTTCGCGCGAACGTGTTTGGGCGAACATAATTTGTTTCGTTAAAAAAAAAAAAAATGTTTTTCGGTTTTTGGTTTTTTAGCTCACGTTTGGCTAAGAATTTGAACATGACTCTCAAGGCAAAAATTGCTTGTATTGTTGTTTTAAATGACATATTTTTTTTTAGATTTTTCAGAGTTTTTTTTTTTTTTTTTTTTTTTTTTTTTTTTTTTTTTAATGTTTGCGTTCGGAAAGTCTTGGGTGCTCGTTTGCGTTCAGGCGAACATGTTCGGGTTCGCCTTCGAATGCGAACACGATGCTACGCAGCTCTCTAGTAGAGTCTATACTATAAGAAATCCTAAACCCTGTGAACTCTAAAAACGTGGCCAACCTAGCATATGAAACCCTCAATGCTGCCAGTGCTGAAGTGATGGAAAGACTAAGCCATGTCAAACCCTGAATAACAGTAAATGCTAAATGCTAAACCCTAAACCTAGGCTACCAGAGCGGCCCGGGAGCACTTGCCCAGCGGGGTCAAAAAAAAATAAAAATTGTGACCCTGAGGCAAAAGTTGTTCAGTTTATTKTTCTGCATAACATAGTTTTTTTCTCGGATTTTTTTTTTTTTTTTCCCTGGGACCTTCCCTGGTCCTCGCACGGCCTGGCTGCACGGGAAAACAAGGTGGCCCGAGCGGCCCGCCTGGCTGGTAGCCTAGCACTAAACCCTTTATTTATTTTCCTGGGACCTTCCCTGGTTCTTGCACGGCCGGGCTGCCGGGGAAAACAAGGTGACCTGAGCAGCCCAGCTGGTAGCCTAGCCCTAATTACTAAACCCCGGGTGCTAAACCCTGAAGCCCAAAACCAGCCTGTGAAGGGGTACTGAGCTACACCCTGTTGTTATGCCCTACAGCCAAGAAGGGAAAAAAGTGCACTGCTGGTGGTTTGGCCAAGCTTGGCGCGCAGTGCGGCGCTGCCAGCCCTGGGTGTACGGGTGGTTTCACGGGTACCCAGAACCCTCAGACCACACAAAGCCATCTTTCAAGCTCTTTGATACCTTTAGGGTATATTCACGCTACCTGGCTGCAATTACGTCTTGATCGGAATGCATCTCACCGTAATCATTTCCAGAGCGGACTCCAAAGAGTCCTGAATGTGACTATGCCCTCAGTCACCTTTCACATTGAGTTGGTACGAAGTTGTTAGTAGGGGAGTGGCACAACTGTGCAGACTGTGTGCTAGTATGTCTTACCCGCTTTGCTGTCAGAAGTTTGTGCCTACAGGTTTATTGTGAACACAATGTGGGTGAACAATCCAGCGCTTGGTGAATTCTGCCTCACAATGACAGGAAGAGACCTCAATTCTGCATCTTTTTTTTCTTATTTATTTGGACTTTGTTTTGTGACAACCGATGTAGGCTGGGTCGTATCGCAAGGATGTGAAAGAGCTAGAGGAGCAGAACCAGGTGCTTCTGGATAAAATATGCGAGCTCGAGGGCACGGTTGAGAAGCTCGAAGAAGTGGAGGCACAGCTTGAAGTGAGTAAAGCATACAACTCGACTCCCAATTGCCGTCACTGTCATGCCTTGTTAAACCTTGTTGTTTTTTGTCCACTTGCCTCTGGCTGTCTCTCTTTTTAGGAGGGCGCCCGTTCATTTCCAGCAGGGCTATATTTCTCTTCTTTGGACGGTGCCCGGTTGAATTGGTTTTCTGTATGATCTTGTCTCTGTGTCCGTGGTCGCAGTCATGCGTCATCTCCATGTGTTCCTCTGCCAACTTCCAAATTGCTTTGTTGCATCGTTTCCCCTGTTGAAATCTTCCCTCTAAGTGAATGTTGCTGAGCTTCAGAACTTTGAAGAAGTCAGGCCAAGCTATGTTTCCCCTGTCGAAACCTTTCCTTCAAATGATACGTTAGGGTATGCAGCAGAGCCTCAACAGCGCCGCCTAGCGCTGTCGAGGCTCTGCTGCATTTGTGTTGACAAATTCGGCGATTCGGGTAATCAATGATAAACGGTATGGTTGTCTTGCTACAAACAAAAAGTAGATGTGTCAATGTTATCCTATTGACTTGCCGGGGACAAGGAACCGGTTGATCCCCCGAATAGAAGGAGCCAGAACCATGAGGTTCTGTTTTTTGGAAAAAAAAAAAAAAGGTGCAAAATGAATTGGAGTGGACTGTGCAACTGTTATATAAGCTGGATTCCGTCTACGTTGGTATTGCTGAGGTTGAGAAGCTTTAAACTGCAAGTACAACGCCCAGGCAAACTTTTAGAGTCAAAAGTGAATCATTCCTAGAAGTTAGGGGACTCGCCGCACAGTGTGCCTGGGGCGGAGCGGAACAATATAATTGTCCCATGGATCAGGGTTGGCACTGGCGCCGCGCAGAGCAAAAAACAATTCCGCACGGCCCCAGCCCCACCGTGGGGGCTCAGAGAAAAGATGTACTTGTGGTTTAAAGCACCAGTCCCACCGATACAAACCATAAAAAAAAAGGGAACTCGCCGCCTGCCCAGCATGAAACGTCACTCCTACGTGGGTGACAGTGTTTTTGACCGGAACATGAATTCTGTTTGGCACAAATGTTTTTTCGAGGCCTAAACCAGGATTGTGTACGTTTTTGTTATTTTTTGTCTAATGCGGTGTGACCTAGTCTACATCCCCGATTTTTTTTCCAGATATTTCGTAGCTGGGGGACTCGGAATGTGTAGCGCACCCTGCAGGTTATCCCTCTCGGGTCCAGTAGGCCGAACCTTTGTGAACAGACCTGTTTTGAACAGTCGTTGACGAAAACGTTTTGGCGAGGAATGGGGCTGTGACTGGTAGTTAAACCCCCAGTTCACCCAGACCTGTTTTGACTATCCAAAAAATGCATTTAAAAACTAAGAATGCATTTTGTTGAGCCTGGAAGTGAGCGGGTACTGGTCTCTTTGTGCTGGACCTGCTGCGAGCTGATGGAACGAAAAGCAGGTCGTGGGTACGTTTTTTTCCTTAATTATTTTCTCTATTTTCACACATGTGGCACGCCAGTCAGGCTGAAGGAAAAGACAAAAACATGAATTGCGTGGACTACTGTGAACGTTTCTGGAGTTCATGGGCACATTCAGAGGCTCGGTGTTTCTAAAAAACAAACCGAAAAAAGGGAGAAAAAAACTGACGATTTCTCACCCTTTCCTCCCGCCTCTCATAGCAGTAGGGCCCCTGACATCACTGAGGGGACGTTTTGTCCCTGTCAGTTGTGGGCTTAGGGCATGACCCACACCAGCAATTTCGTAATTGTACCAGAGGAGTTTACAAATGAATGTGACCGCAATCACATCCAGAGCGTACCAGAAGAATTGTCAGTGTTAGTGTTCTCGTTGTCTTTAACTTCCCGTTTCGACTATCTTCTCTTCCACCCGTCAAGTGGCTGTGGCTGCCCTCACTAGTTTCTTTTTTTCGGATCTTTTTTTTTTTCTCGACTTCTTTTTCTTTCTTTTTCAAGCCTGTACTTTTATCTTTCTTTGTCTGGCCGTATTTGGTGTTTTCACATCTGGCGCCCGCCCATCCATTGCACCTCATGGGCTGGCGACTCTAGTTTTTTAGGCCCACCAGGCCCAGGTAATTCCAAGTTATTTTACGTCATTCGTCTGGTTCATCAACTTGGGGATTCAAACTCAGGTCTGTGTTTCAACAGTTCATGGGTTTACCAACTGTGCTAGGTGTAACATGCTGAGGCTGCTACACAGGCCCTTTTTTGGGGCCCGGCGGTTGTTCCAGGCCCCCAGGCCATGCACCCGTTTTTGGTGAGCGACCTGGAGGCCCACGGTCTCCAGGCGAGGCACACATTTGGTTCCACGCTCTCCTTTATTCAACATTTATTATTTTTGCTGGGTTTTGTCTGGACTATTTTTGTCTGTTTCAGATGTGTCGGTTCGGACTTTTCCTTTTCGGCCATTGTAGGCCAGGCTCGGATTTGTCCGTATCTGGGACTGGACCAGGCATTCATGTGTTTGTGCCTGGCCCAGTCCTCAGGACCCTGCTGCATCATCAGGCATCAGGGTTGCCTGGACGCCTGGTAGGGAGCTAGGCAGGCCGTCTTTGGCCAGGATCGTAGGACCAGGACTTGGGCCTGCGATCAGGACCATCGATCAGACATTAGATCCTACGGTCCTGATTGCAGACCGACTGCTCAGCCAGGCCCAACGGTATATAGCTGGGACAGTCCTCCACTTTGGGGAGACATTTGGACTGGAGCCTCAGTTGGGGGTCACGCTGCTGGAGCAGCGCTGGTTTGGGGGAGAGCTGCAATAGAGAAACGTTAGAGGAGTAGAGTAGGCTGGAGTCGAGAGATTTGGCGGAGGCCATGTCCACAAGGGAGAGAGACTTACCTGGGCGCCGACCTGCATGGGGAGTCATCACCTTTGCTGGTCAGTATTTGTGGCATTGTCATCAAGAGCGCGTGAGAGAGGAGAGTTCTTCTTCTTCTTCTCCTCCTGATTCCTCCTCCCTCGTTTTCTTCTTCTCCTCCACACACACAGAGAGACAGAGACAGAGAGAGAGAGAGAGAGAGAGAGAGAGAGAGAGAGAGAGAGAGAGAGAGAGAGAGAGAGAGAGAGAGAGAG